TTTTAGCATACTGCACTATAATTAGATGTAATATTTGGTTCAAATCAAATTTATATTTAGTGAAAACTGGATCAAATTCGCTCAGAGATTGATTGAGCGATCAATTCATATATTCTATTTTACAAGAGACCAGAATGTTTTTGCTCATCTAGTTGTAAAAAAATAAACTTTTATGTGAAATAGCCAGCGATTTCTAATTTTTTTCAAATATATATATATATATATATATATATATAGAGTTAACACAATGGTAAGAATAGGTTTTCAACATATGTTGCTTTCTTATAACTAAATGTAAGGAAACTAGCTTACTGCAAAATAATAAATACAAATTTGAAGTAGGGACTTTAAAAGTATAGTCGTAGTCATTGACGCCTTCCCTTTTCTGTCCTTGTCTTACAAACGTGATTCCATATATATTATATGTACGTTAGAAAAGGACAAAAAGAAAAGTATAGGCCAGAAGGATCTTTTATGGTTTTATGGCTTTTCATTGCAAAATTAAAAATTGTTGCATTTGAAAAAAATGATTTTTAAATATTATATTCGTAATGTACATGTCAATACAATTACAACGATATAAAATTTTTTGCAAATATTTTTAAATTATTGAGAATTAATTTTAATTAATGGAGTATTTATTGTATAATCATTATGTAATTTTAGAGTTTTTACATAATGTTTTATATCATTGGAATCGTTAAAATCTATAAATTACAAATATAACATTTAAAAAAATATTTATTTAAATTTAAATAATTTTTTATTTTGCATTAAAAAGTCATAAAACCTGATGGACCCTCGAAAGGACCCTTCTGTTGGAAAAAGGGAATATATAATATAATAGAGTTATATGGTGGGTTTGAGTGGCCTTGGTACCTCTCTTGGAACCCTTTTTACAAAAAAAATAAAACGTAGTGAGAAATCGTCACTTTTTAGAAAACGTCAGGCCCATAAAAACTATTTAAGTCAGAATTAGTCAGCAGCATCACAGAACATCAAAATAGTCTCAAAACGTCAGGATTTCTGACGTTTTGAGACTGATTTCTGATTTTATTTTTAGCAGGGTTATAATAAATATTGTATTTTTCTTGGAGGCTGAATTGTTATACAAATAATAAATAAAACATAAAAGTGAAAATTAAGAGTCTGCCATGTGCTCAGTATATTAAATTAATACTACAGTGTTGACAACGTTAAGCTTCAAATTGCACCTGATAAAATGCAAATCTGGATATAAGGAGGATTACAACAATATAATTTGGAACTTATTCTATATTACAATAAGTAATAATTATTAAATATGAAGTTGGATCAAATAGTTTACCAAAGTGCTTTAACATTGTCAAACAGTAACAGTGATTAGTGAATCATCACAACAAAGGTCGTTGATATAAACATTAAATCTATAACAAATTTGTTGACAGACAGTCAATTTCTATCTTTTCCTTACTTACTAATTCCTTTCGAATGACTATTATATTATAATTCAGTATAATAATTTGAAATAAAATATGAGAAATTTAAAACTTGTTTAAATGTGATCGTGCAGAGTGATGAGCAATAGAGTTCTGAAAATAATATAACTTTTAATTCTCATTTAAAAAAATTATTTATCCTTTTTTTGTGAATCTGTTTTAAGGAACATAATAAATTAAAAATATGCTTATTTTGCTTATCATTACGCATGATTAAATTATAATAAACATTCCCTGTTGTTTGGTTTTCCTTTCTCTGCCTGAACACTTTTTTTATTATTGTTTTTGTCCGGTTTTTTTTTCTCTCCTTTCTTTTTTTCTTTTTTTTTTTATTATTAATAAGGTTTAAAGAATTGTAGTTCTTGCATTAAGTTGGCTTTAACATTTATTTCAAATTGGTATGCTTTTTATACCGATAAGTTATAGATATTTTTATTTACTTTCCTTTCTTGTATTAAGAGCCAACTTGGAGTAAGAACTTGGTTTGGGGGATCTGGCATGGTCGATCGAAGAGGTTTATGGTTGGTTATGCTTTTGCATAAACAGAATTGAGAATCTATACTTAGAAATAAATTTTTGTAGGCGAAATGGAACGTGAGAATGGCTCCAATATTTCTGCCGGGTCACTTTCGAAGGATGGAGAGCGGGTTACCTCTCGTGTGTGGAGGGGTCGTGGCAGAATTTTGAAATGGAGATCTCCTTTTGAAAAAAATTCATTGGGCGCTAGTGTGGGTAGTACCCTGAATAAAACGGTTGAACGTTTAAGACTGCATTTAGATGACCCGATCGTTCCATCCACGAATACAGATGCGGTTGGGGGGATGTAGCAACTGCATCCACTTCATATTTAAATTCTAATAAAAGAAATAGAGATGAACTCTCCCAGTCCTTGATATCTTTAGAGGATCCTTCTGATTCTGCAGGAGGTTCAAAAAACAAGAGGAAGCAGCAAAAGGACGATTCCTCCTCAGTGTTTCCTTACGCAGTTCACTCTAAATCTCCTACTTTTAACCGTATCACTGCAGATATTTCTGAAAGGTTGTCCAATCGCAATAATTATTTTTCACCCTCGGGATTGGAATGGTTTCGTTCTCCTCCTTCTCCTGGTGTTTTTAGATATAATAAGTTTTCGATTCCTCCATATGTTGTTTTGGTGGAAAGTACTCGACCTGGTAATAATATAGGTAAATTGGATCCATTTGCTGTTACTGATATGATTGCAATTGTTGTTCCTATGGATAAGAGAAAAATATATAGAAGTGGTATTAATCAGATTAAAGTGTTTTGTGTTGAGTGGTCTGACGCTAATAAACTGTCGGACTCTCAGGACCTAAAGAATTTGGGATTTCAGGTGACTATCCCGCAGTCTTTCATTAGAAAGAAGGGTTTTATATCCTCATTTTCAACCGAACACTCATTACAACGTATAGTTGACGGTATTGATCCTGAAGAAAAAGAATACATCTTTTCGATAAAGAGATGTCTTAATCCGGATCGTACGCCGTCTACGCGAGTGGAGTTTTCGTTTGATAGTGGAATTATTCCCAGATCTATTGAGATTGAGGGATTTCTGATCCCTATTACTCCTGTTATACCTAGGCCATCTCGATGCTTTCGCTGCCAGAGATTTTGCCATGTTGCAGCACAATGTCGTTCGTCCAGACCGTATTGCGAGTATTGCTCTGAGGGCCATAGAACACTTTTTTGTCCGCGATTGAATAGTAGGAGCAAATGCAAAAACTGCAAAGGGCCCCATGTAGCTTCCTCTACAGATTGTCCTACGTACCATCTAGAGTTTGAAATCACCAAAATGCGATATCTTGCAAACATTGAAAGATCGGAGGCTATTGAGAAGCTGCGAGTGACTTCTCCTGAGTTATTTATGAATTCTTCAAGCAATCCAGGTTCCCCAAGTAGCAAACTTTTGGAGGTGAATAATAATGATGAGAACAATAAAGAAATCGAGGCTGAACATAATAATGAACAGTTTCAAAATAATGACCTTGAACTTGATCCTGGTTTACCTAACCAGGCTCATTCCGTATCGAAAGCTGCCCTTATGAATTCTAGTCATTTCAACTTCTTGACATCTCTTGATGAATCTATGCAGTTAATAGGTCTTGGACTAACCCAGGAGGGAAATCTGGATGGTGATAGTCAGATGAATGTTGATGAAGTCCCTCTGCTCTCAGATTTTAACGATAAAAATGTTTGGAATTTTTCCACTCCTTATTGGCAGCAAACGATCTTAACCCAATCTCAAATTGAAGAAATGGGACCTAACAATCAATCTGATGGTCCAATCTCAGAACCTCAGTGCCTAAATCCTGGAATGCCTCTAACAGAGGTCTCTGTCGCGACCCTTGATCAGGCTATGAATATTGGTTCGCCGGAAATTAATACGGTATCAAAAGAGACATATTCTGGCGATGTTTAAACATCACTTTGCCAGATCTCCCACTACTAATAAATAAATATAACGTTCTTAGCAAATAAACGAATTCAGAATTTAAATCGATTTAATTGTTAGTTTGGTGTATAGGTTAGTTGTGTAAGTAAATTTATTAGTTTGTTAAATAATTTTGGTCTTGGTTGGATGTAACATATTTCAGTTGGATATAGATACTAATAGGATTATAGATATTATGTTGCAATAAATTATTTAATGCTGTTAAGCAAATAATTATAGAATTTTTAAAAAGTCCAAGTAACTTTGGTATTTAAATTAAAATGCGAGTTAAAAAAATTAAATTCGGCAATTGGAACGCCTGTAGTATAGTAAAGAAAAAAATAGAGGTTGAATCACTTCTTTTTCAATATGATTTGGATTTATTGGCCTTAACAGAGACATGGCTAACGAATCGGGTTTTGGATTGGTCTGTTTATGGATATTATTCCTATCGATGTGATAGACAGGGATTGAACCCAGGCGGTGGTGTAATGATTCTTGCTAAAAGAAGTTTAATTATTACCCCAATTGAATTAAATGGTGGCTATAGGGATTTTTTCGATGTTGTTGCAATACAAATCCAGACAGAGACTGGAAATACCCAATTTGTCTCAGTTTATGCTCCTCCGACAATTGCAATACCTTCTGATTGTTGGATGGAATTATTACAGGATCTTAATCCACATAACTCTCTAATAATATGTGGTGATTTTAACGCTCACGCTATGTCATGGGGCGCCTCTTTCGATTCTTCTCGAGGTTTACACATCCTGGATGCGTTGGATACATTTGGTTTAGTCAATTTAAATGATTCAGTTCCTACACGCGAGGACTTGTCTGGTAGATCTTCTAATAATCTGGATCTTATTCTTGTTTCTGCTGATTTGGCGTGTATCACGGACGTTGAGGTGACATCGGATAAGTTTGGCTCTGACCACTTTTTAGTCAGAGCCCTACTTGATGTTACCCCAAAGCATATTAGATAATTAAATAAAAGATTGAAACTGTCAAAAGTAAATTGGGGCGAGTTTTCGGTTCAAATTTCTTCTGTTGCTGCTGGCTTGTCGATGGAAATGAATGAAGGGTCTGATCCAATTGATATTTATGATAAACTCACTGATAAAATCAATGTTCAACTAATAGAAAACGGTGCATTTTATCCTTCAGATAATCCGGGAAATCGCAAGTCTCAACCACTATGGTGGGACGAAGAGTGCGATGAATTAATTGAGAGACGTAGGTTGGCTAGAGGAGAGTTTCTCCTGAACCAAAATCTGGCTTCAAGGGAACACTATAGGAGAATAGATAATGAGGTTAAAAGAGGATTGAGAAAAAAAAAGTCACAATCGTTTAAAAAGTTTTGTGGAAGTATTGATCCTTCCATGGGACTCTCAAAAATTTGGAAGACGGTTAGGTCCTTTTCGAACAGAAACGCCCCTCTCACCTCTAATGTATGCAACGACCCTGAATCAGAGGTTTTTCAGGCTCTTCAGGAAGACTTAGTAAAGCCTCAGATAGAGGCATTTGAACTACCGATGAGAACAGAAGTAGATGAGGAAGATCCTTTGAATCGTCCGTTTTCTGAAAGAGAGTTTTCTTCTTCTCTTTTATTATGTAAAAATGAGACCACCCCTGGACTTGACGATATTTCTTATTCGACTATTAAAAAATTACCTAAAGAGGTTCGTGATCTTATTCTTAAAATATTTAACAGGTTCTTTATGGAATCTCGATTTCCGCCTCAATGGAGAAATACAAAAGTGATTTTTGTCCCCAAACCTGCTGGAAAGGGATTTAGACCAATATCATTAACATCCAACCTTTGCAAACTTTTTGAACGCCTTGTTCATAGACGCTTAGAGTTTCAATCAGAAAGTAAGAACTGGATACCAGATATCCAGTTTGGATTTAGGAGAGGAAGGTCCTCGCTCGATTGTGTCTCAACCCTTGTCACAGATATTTCGGATGGTTTTCTGGAAAATAGGGGTACTTTGGCTTTGGCGCTTGATGTTAAGGGTGCTTTCAGCAATCTGCTGCCGCAAGCAATATATGATAGGCTGCTGGAGTTGGGAGTATCGGAAAGAATTCAGAACTTTGTATCCTTTATTACCTCCAAGAAGAATTTATTCTTTCGTTCCTTAAATGATGGATATAGGATATCTGGTATTGGGGTTCCTCAGGGTGGTGTTCTTTCTCCCTTGTTGTTTAACCTTGCCTTAATCAAGATCCAATCGAAACTCCCTGTTGGAGTAAGAATTGCGATGTATGCAGATGACATACTGATTTATGTAAGATTTCGAGTAATTTCTGATGCCTTGGAGCTTTTAAGAAGCTCGATCGAATCCTTAACTCCATGGCTCTCAGATATGGGTCTATCAATTTCAGTTCCAAAAACTCAAGTATGTGTATTCTCACGATTTCAGGAAAGATATGAAGACTCATTCTTACTAATTGATAATTTTGAGATTCCCGTAGAGGAATCTCTGTTATATCTTGGCATCCTATTGGACCGTAAGTTGTCGTGGCAAAAACACATAAAACGTGTGGCTCAAATGGCTGACAGATCTATTAACATCCTTAGAGCGATTGCTAGGATCACTTGGGGAGCTAACCCTGCCTCCCTGCTTATGGTCTACAGGGGGTTGATCCGAGCTCACTTAGAGTGGGGCTGCCAACTGTTTATGGTTGCTGCTGAATGTTACTTGGTCATCTTGGATCGTGTCCAGAACTCGGCAATGAGAGTCATACTGGGATGTATGAGTACAACTCCTCGTAATTTTCTGCTGGCTGAATTAAATGAACCTCCTCTGTCCTTACGACGTTCCATGCTCTCAGAGAGATTCATAATTCGAAACTATTCATGGAGAACGAATATTCTGATCCTTAAGTTACAGGTTTTGGTTGGTAAGCTCAAGAGGAAAAAGAAGCTTCGAAAATATCAGAACAGATTTCCACTGATTTATGCATATTCACGTGTTGTGAATCTGTCACAAAACCCTACCAAATCAAATAAACCAGGTCGTCTGGACTTTACCTGGCGAGAACTAACTAGTCCTGTCCACGTTGACCTTGATACTGGAAAGGAGTTAAAAAATAATTCAAATCCTAATTCTAAGTTGAATTCCCACCTAAGAGATAATTTCTTGGATTACTCTGTGTTTTACACGGATGGCTCAAGATCTATTGAAAATGGCAGGTCAAGTTGCAGCTTTGTTCTTCCTCCTAATGTGGAGTTTGGAGTACGTCTAAATGACTTCTCTTCATCCTCTACATGTGAGGCCTATGCAATATTATCTTCACTTAAATATATCTATTCGCATGATATTGATAAGGCTCTGATTATTTCTGATGCGCGTAGAATCCTAACGGATATAAGTGATCGAATGGGCAATCCAAATCTGCATCAATTAATTCATGGTATCGTGCAGATGGTTGGGAAGATTGAGGATGAAGGACGTTCACTGTCTTTTTTGTGGGTCCCTGCGCATGTAGGAATTGTAGGAAATGAGTTAGCTGGTAGTGTCGCAAAAAATGCCTTATACTTTGAATTCGGTAAATTCCATGGTATTCCATGTAGAGACTTGACCGAAATGGTCCGCGACGAAACCAGAAATTGGCATCGAAGTAGTTGGCCTCCGTGTTCTAGATCAACGTCAAATAATGTTTATTTCAGGAAAATAGGAGTGAAGACTCCACGTCCATGGTTTGATAAGTTTGCAGCACCCCGTGGATATATTAACCTAATAACTCGATTAAGAAGTTGCCATACTTGTACGAGTGACCACTTTTTGCGTATGGGGTGGCATGTGGATACTCAGTGCGTTTGTGGGGTTGGGCAGAAAAACCTCTTACACTACTTGAGGGATTGCCCCGTTCTCTCTCCGGGAAGACCTGCTCTTTTTCAATACCTAAATACAAGAATTGTAAACTTTTCCTCGGCAGTGCCGGATCTATCTCAAATAATTTATGACCCTGATATACAGGTTGTACGCAACTTAGGGAAATTTTTTGAGAAAGGAAATATAACCCTATAAGGAAACAAACACGGACACAGGTAGAGAGGGAAAGGCGAATGAACAGACAAAGAAGTATAATAAACATGGTAGATAAATTGTGCGAATTAATATCTCAAACAAAGCACATTCTAGTGACGTTTATTTTTAGAACGCTTTCAGCTTGTCACTCTGTAAGGATGTTAAAAAAAAAAAAAGAAAAGAAAAAAAAAAAAAAAAAAAAATAATAATAATTTTAAAAAAAATAAATAAATAAATGAATAAAATAAATAAATAAATGATCAGACTAAATAAATATAAAAAAAAAAAAAAAAAAAAAGATAAATAAATAAAAAACCTGAATTCTAGTTAACTCTCTCCCATGTTTAAATCAAACTTCCCGCCTAAATTCGCTTCCTAATCCAACTCATCTGTCAACAATGCAACGCTCGGTCACCGTGATCTGGACCTAAAGGCTCTTGTATACCTCACCGATCCCGAGTATACTTCTGTCGTGTACCATTGGAGTAAAAGAGACAAAAGATATTTCATCTCTTTTACTCCAATGGTACACGACGCAAGTATACTCGGGATCGGTGAGGTATACAAGCGCCTTAAGAGGTGCTGAAGTTGTCCAGTTTTCCCTTTCGTGTGTTCGTGACCAATTAGACATACAATCAACTACATTTTTTAAAGAAACAATTAAATTAGCCTATCTAAGTGATAAGACAAAATCTGTGAAGTGGTATTGGCTATTTGTTCCATCTTTGGAACCAGAGGCCATTTAAACAAAAGAAAGAAAGAAAGAAAAATTAAATAAGTTGATATTTCAATTCTTAAATTTTATGTAAGATTTTATGATGTCCGTAATTAAATAAAGTTTTTGCTTTTATTTTGAGTAGAAAATATCGTTATTTTGAGGTGGATTGGTCATATCATATAAAATAATTTTTTTTGGAATTGATAGTTATTTATTGTATTAATTTAGAAATAAAATGTCTAAAAAAGTATTCACATGTAATTATATGTCATAATAATTCTAATTCTTTTGTTAAGTAACTTCTCTTAAGAGTTACAATTTTCTTTTTCTTTTATTTGTAATGAAATCTCGCATTATTCGTAAATTTTATAAATTTAAAAGAATCTCATTTTCAAGTAAGATGTACATGCGTCTTTTTTTTATTTACAAAACGAAATATATCATGTACTATATATAATAAAAAAATTTTATAAATTGGCTGAAATTCATAAAAAAGACTTTAGCAATTCAGACAGACATTTAGTCAGACATTCATTTTTGTAAAAAATTTCTACATAAATTTATGTGTCAGTGATTGTTGAAAATCAAAAATTTGTTAGTTACACATTCAATATTATATTAAGTATTAAAAAACATGTTTCAAAATAATTTGGACTGATCCCTCTTCATAAAACTTTGTTTATTTGGAAGCGTTGTTTATCATGCTTATCAAATTCTAAAGCTGTCAAAAAGCAATTTCTTAGCGGGATGACTTTACATAGAAATAAAAAAAACCCGCACGAAATTACACAGGATTATTAACATCCTATTAAATAATTGCTTCTCTCTAAGCATTATATATTATTGTAAATAATATAAGATAAACATGTTAAAAGGAAGGACAATTATTATGTAAAATCTCACGTGCATACATACTACATAACCTTATATTAAAATAAATCGATTATTTATTTATATTTATTATTACATAGATAACAAAGAAAAACACCAATCCACCTCAAAATAACGATATTTTCTACTCAAAATAAAAGCAAAAACTTTATTTAATTACGGACATCATAAAATCTTACATAAAATTTAAGAATTGAAATATCAACTTATTTACTTTTATCTATAAATATAACTAAAAAGACAATGTTACACGATTTTGGACAAATTGTCGAATCTGCGAACGTGCGAACGACCGAACACCCGAACCACCTCGCGGTTTTTCACGTCAAAAACATGGAAACAGCGAAATCACAAACGGTTCTTTAGTTTTCGAGGCTAAAATGAATCGAGCATAAACTTGGTTTTGTGGTGGCGCGTAGAAGCTTCCGTACCGAGTACACACTTTATCAAAAATGCGACAAAAATCCCAATTCGGAAACGGCCGAGTAGTAAAGGCCTGAGCAGAATAAAAACGTAACCATAATCTTTATCGTAAACGGAAGTATGGGTTAGAGAAGGATAGTCATATATGTGACGCGACGCGAAGAAAGGGACCTAAGAGTCCAATTTTTGATTTTCGGATTATGATTGATTCAGATAAATTAAGGATTGCTTTTTAATTATGTGAAGTCAAAATTAAATTTTATCAAATAGTTTTTTTGCAATAACGATTTAAACATGAGCGATTTGTGTAGAGAATTGACTCTCTTTCTCCTCACACACACATGCGTCACTTGAAGTTCGGGTCGGTATTCGTGATTTAGAGAGAGATGCGCTGACTACACCGTTCTCTCTCACTACGAAAGCACGTGTACGAGGTGCATCTCTCTTTACTTTCCGAAGACGCCCGAACACACAGACGCCAACTTGAAATAGTAGTGGGAAGCAAGAGAGAGTAAGAGATATCGGAAACTCTTCGCCACGTTCTTGCCTACTCTTTTCTCTCTCCTGTGAAATTGCCGTTTGGACGCTTAGGTCCCTTTCTTCGCGTCGCGTCACATATTGTTGTTCTTCTCTTACTAATTACGATTCCGGTTACATTCCTATTGTGCTTAGGCCTTAAACTCGCAATCGCAAACGGAACGGGAACGCCATTACGATTCCGTTTGCGATTGCGCTTACGACGCTATTCTGCTCAGGCCTTAAATGTTTGCGTTGCGTGACTGACGCGTTGGTCCGCCGTCATCAAAGCATTGATACCAATCGCGAACAAAAAGTTTGGTTTATGTACCTCTTATCCCTGTTTTCCAACTTTACAATTTTTAATGCAAATGTTTCTCGACGGCTTTTAATAATTTTAATATTTATAATACAAAAATCAGTGTCTTAAAATCATAAACCAAACTTATTGTTCGCGATTGGTATCAATGCTTTGACGTCACTGCGCTTGCAGACCATCGCGTCAGTCACGCAACGCAAACATTTAGGAACCTATTGGAGAAAGGCCTTTAAAGGCCTTTCTCCAATAGGAACCTAAACTTTTGCGTTGCGTGACTGACGCGTTGATTTTAGCATTGGTTGCCAATAGCAACCGACGCAATGCATACGCAACGCAAGAGTTTAGGATCCTATTGGAGAATGGCCTTAACCAAAAATGGTTTACTGCACAAGTATATGAGGCATTTTACGTGTAATGTCCTGAGTTAAAAAATTGATTTCTCGAAAAAAGTAAAACTTGGGGAATTTGTTGTTCTACCTGAAAGTAGAATATCCCGAAAAATTTTTTGACTTTTCTGAAATTTGCGGGGAGATAGAGGTGGTCAATTTTATCAGTTTTCCCTGACACCGCTTACTATTTAAATTTTTTCTGTCTATAAAGGTGCTTTTGTACCTCAAATTTCGATCAGATGAACATTATTTCTGGACCGTGAAAATTCATTTTCACGGCGGGTATTTTTGAATTGATTTAAATAAAAAATGTTTTTTTAAGAAATATAATGTTAAACAATTGTTTAAATGTTTAAGAATAAATGAAAATAGTGATAGAAAGATGATTTGATTGGAAAATTTAGCAAATTTTGCTTTGAAACGTTTTCTGTTACGAAAAAGTGTAAGATCACGATGTTTGTGAAATGGTTTGTACAGTCCCAGATAACAATAATGCGCGCATTTAAGATCGCACTTAGTGATTCTCCTATAAGGTTATTCAAGTTGGGTGGGGGAAAGCCAAGCTGGTGCACAAACATCCGGTCTATCAGCACACATTTCCACGTATTTCTCGTGGGAATGAATGCCGATAGGCCGGATGTTTGTGCACCAGCAATCATCCATCTTGGCTTTCCCACACCCAACTTGAATAACCTTATGGTGCATGCAAAAGCAGTATGCTGATGCGACGCATGCGCTTACAGTCCATGCTAGCAAGAAGTTCTCTGCTGGATATACAAGGCGCAAAGCTAGTATAAATGCCAAGAAGTTCTCTTTATGCCTTCACGTATTCGATCTCCTACAATGCATTTGAAATGCGCCTTCAATGTACTCACACAGCATGCGAATTACAATAAAAATTATTTAATTTAAATAGCTTAAAACATGCGTAATATTATGTTAAGATGAAAATTCTCTCTTGAAAACATAATTAATAAAAGTTAATAAGAAAGTAATTATTACTCTCTAAATCTGAATTAGTGAAATACTACTAACAAATAGTAAAATTTGACTAATATTAGTGGAAGACTTTTCCCCTTTTTATTAGTTAAATATAACTAATTTTTAGTAAATATTCACTAATTTTTTACTATTATTTCACTAATTACTACCCTACCGAAAGAGTGGTACTGGATTGGTACTGGGAAATTGGAACTGAGGGCTCAGTACCAACTCAGTACTAATTTGGTGCATTTTGGTACTGAAATGGAACTGGGAAATTTACCTGCGAAAAGGGTCGAGTTACCGTTAAAACCCTCATAAAAGTGAAAAGCGACTAGCTTTTTCAATATGTTTAAACTAAAACTTTATATTTATTTCAATATTATATTTGTTTTTCATGGATTTATATTATTTTCATACATTATTATGCATATGATATTTCCTTTGTCAGCTAAATTCAAAAATGATGTCCATTTTTTTATTAAACTTAAGGTATACGAGATAAATTATAACTTTTTTAAATGTAATTATTTTATGATAAATTTTAGATATTCATAATCTGGAAATATTAACGAATCTCAATATATATTTTTTAAAGTTGAGTTATGAAAATTACAAATTTTTTAAGCAATAAAACTCGGGTTAAAATTGTAATCCTTCAACAAAGGACCTTGGAGTCTATTGTTCAAGGAGGGATTGCAATATAATTTCCAAACTTAACTGAAATTTTCTACAAACTATTATGTTTTTTTTTGCTATTTTA